CTTAACCAAATAGTTTCACCAGATTCTTACCCTAGTTTATAGCCCAATCCCATTCTACATGGAAATTCCCCAGCTCTCGGTTTGTACAAACAGCTAAGAAATAGAGGCATGTTTTTTATGTTCATCTGCTTTATGATTTTCTAGAGCTCCTCTTTAACAAAATGCCTTTCTATGTGCATAAGTAATATGTTAAACATACTGTATGTGAGACATTTATGGGAGTAACCACTATGCGTTCTTTATATCTTCATAATAGCAGTAACCAAAAAAGATAAACTTTGACCTTTCATTTGCACCATTGATAAAGTATGGAAATCAGCAATTAGAAATTAGAACTTGAGGTTTAAATAAATATAAAAATTAGAGCAATTATAGAAACAATTCTTTAAAATATCTGTTCTGCATTTGTCAAAGACATGTTAGAAAATTCATTTATAACACTACCATAAATGTGTTATTTTACTTTAATGTAGGTTTTAATTTCTTTTGAAACTCTCTTAAATATTGTTTTTTAAAAAATAATGTAATGTAGATGCCATTTTAAAAGGAAGATTCTTTGCAATAGAATCTCTAATATTATATTTAAAATTGCAGAAATAGTATCTCTAGTGTTTACCATTTCTACAACATAGCAATATATTTATTGTCCACTTTAAAGGAAAGTTTTCCTTTTTTAATAAAACAATAGTAAATTATATTGATATAGACAGAAAATGATGGCATGCTCTCTTACTTGTAACAGTTAGCATACATTGGCATTAAAATTTTAAATAAGTTTATTTACTGTTGCTAATACATATGAATGGAGTAATGTTCATATGCCCAGCTACCACAGTTTATCTTATAGTACACATAAAACTAGCTCCTCTTAAAAAGACGAAGAAGATTTTAAAAAAAAGCTTTTTTTTTTTTTTTTTTTTGAAATGTTATATTTCTGCTTAAGAAAATGGGTCCACTTAGTGGAGTAGTTTAAATTAAATTTGCAACAAGATTATGGAAAAGTATTGATCATTTTTTTGAGGAATTGAATGAAAACATACCAATCCACATTCTCCCACTCAATTCAATGATAATCATGCCATTCAATTACATAAATATTTAAGAACGTTTACCTTAAGGCAAATATTGAAAGAAACATCTACCAAAGCCTTAGACAGATGGAATTTTTATCAGCCATCATATTCATATCCAAACCATGTAAAAATATGATTTCAACTTGTTACCTGTATAAAGAAGTGCATCATCTTGTACTGAGAGTTTTTTCAAACATGACACATATAAAAATCACTTCTGCCCAAAGCCATAATACCCCAGTTTAAAATAAAAAATCTAGGTCCCCATTAATATATTATCTCTGAGTATTCCCAGAATTTCAACCAAAGAACCTCTAAAAGCATTCCCAAGACACCATCACCTTTCTGTAAATGGTACTTTGTACATGAATGCCCCCTAGTTTCAGCAAATTATATTCTACTGTCCATGAATTTCTAATCCTTTTTGAAAAAGTTACACAATTTTAGAATATATATATATATACACACACACAAACATATGCAAACATATATGTGTACATATCCTTAAATCCTAACTGAAATTATTATTTAGATTGCCAAATATTTTGTCTCTGTTTAAATGGCTTTGGTCAATTTAAATGAAAAAAAATTCAGTTAAAATCAGGCACATCAAGTATTAAACTTTTGGTACAGATATATTCATGACAAATAAATTACTTGAAAATTTAAAAATATTACAACTACATAAGATATTTAATTTTTAAAAAATATTATATTTTCAGCAGAATGCATGCAAGACCCATACCTACATTATACAATGGCAGAAAGTCTAACTTTGGTATGGGTTTTTTGTAATAGTAGACAAAGATTTGTTCCATTATATAATCAAACTGTTTTACTGTTTTGTTCTCCCCAAATTATTTAATTATTACCATTAGGAAAACAAATAATTATGTTTCAATTTGGAATTAATGATACCTCTTCTTGGCTGTTGCATAAACTGGAAATCATAAAAACTGTATTTCAGGCTCATATAATTGTCTGCATTAAGTGTGTGTTCTTTAAGATTGGATGGCTCTAAAAATCCATTTTGGGAATGTACTAAAAATCATTTTAATATACTGACATCAAAGTGATGAACTGAAATTATGTCAATGGTGTTATTAGGCTAAGGGGAAGTTCAAATTAACTTTCAGATTTCCAACACATTCTATATTTTATTTTATTAATCTTCCAGCTCATCTAGCATATAATTAATACAAGCATATAATTAATACTATTTTTTAGTTTTATTTTCAGTCTAATATGCAAATCATAGGAATACATTGTTATTCATTTTCATATTTCTTGATTAGAACTATCTGATAATAGATGGAATAACTAATATTCTCCATTGTGAAATGAAGTTCAAAACTACTCAGCAACAGCTCTCAATCATGTGGTTATTTTTGTGAAATTAGGATTTTCCCTATATATTAGCAGTCTTCAGTTCTGACAAAAATACCTTATGACATAATTATCATATTTACTCTGAAACATTAATGAGATTTACTAAAATATCCTGTCAAAGGGAGAAAAGATAAAGATTGTATGAAATTGTGACATTAGACTATTCTGTGGGATAAGTGAGTAATAATTTTCTATAATATATCATTTAAGGTCTCTCTGCAATCCACTCACTATATACTGGAATTAGTTCTGATTTCCAATATATAGACATTTAATTTTTCGGAAGTATGTGAAAAACTAGTCATATCCATCTTTTTACGTATTATTTCTGTAATTAACATTTGCAAAGAGTCATGAAAATAAATGTCACAAACCAAGCCTAAACTTTCACATTTTCCTAACACAGTGGAGAAATGAGACAACAAAATCTTAGTTTTCTCACATGGAGGCAGCTGGCTTCCTTTTTGTACATCTTTTCATGTCTAAACTTGTTAATTCAGTTGTACATACACATGAGGTAATTAAGTGATTATTATCCCTTTGTCCTTGTAACCAAAAGGTGGTACCTCTAAAAATCAGTTAGCATTCAACAGAGGCACTATGTTTTTTTAAAAAAAGTAATTTAAATGTCAAATCCCTAGAAAGAAAATCTTTTTTTTGTGACTTGGTAATTCTGCTTAGGTAGGAGAGATCATTATCTCAAACGGAAAATCGTTTTGAAAATAGTACACATTATACTCATGGCAAACAAATCCAGTTTTTTCTAAGTTAGTGTGTAAACTTATATATTAAAGATACTGGTGAAAAAATACTTTCTGAGTTATAAAATTAGTGTGGAAGGTCAGAGTTAAGATAGAAGATTCCCTTTTCTTATATCAAGTGGACATCTAGAAGAAAAAAAAGTAAGACTCTGTATTTCCCCTGATAAATAGAAAGAAGTGGTTTGTATACTAACATCTGCTGATTTTTCTGTGTTCAGGTAAGACTCATTTGGAATGCTTTCCTATTACACCCAATGAGGCACTTCTCTATACCTCCTTCCATCTGACAGTCCTATCGCTTAGCTGTCCCTGATAAATAATAGGAAAACAAAGCTTATATCTCCAATGATGGAATTAGAGACTGCTGAAGCTGGTGTAAAGGCTCTGTCCAACAAGTACCATTTACTTGACCTATTATGCAGGCAGCTAGGGACATGTTGCTGTTTTGATATATTTTTCCTTCTTTTAACGAGATGTTACAAAAATGTTTTCCCCTTCGAGATTTTTAAAATTTAGGCTATCTTTCTAACATTACTTTTTAAACTTTGTTCCAGTACAGAGGTTCTTGTCCAACTGACCCTCCATATGCCTTCCAAAGGGAGTGTTGAAATTGTATAAACATCATGTTTACATCCATTAAATATTCTCCTATTAAAAGAAAATAAAGCCAGGCATAAGTTTGGTATCCAGACAATAAAATGTAAATAGATAGTAGAAAGGAAGAATAAAGTGAAAATTCGTACACAAGTGTAGCTTCCACACAAAAGTTAAACAGTTGCTTTATTTCACCAAAGGGTTAATACTGGAGAAAGTGAATATCAACGTGTACACAAAGCTAACTAGAAGATTAGCTTTCTCAAAGTAGAAATCTAAGCCTCCCTGTAAAACTGTTGTCCCTTGCAAATGTTTTGAAACTTTACATTTTTGATCCCCCAACAACAGGCCATACCAAGGAACCTCAGGAGAGTAATAATTTATTTTTCTTACTCAAGGAGGCTTTCAAAGTTCAGATGTTAACACTGATGTGCAATACCAAATTGTCAGCCCCACAGGACAGATGGAAACAGGAAAAGTCAGATGGTTGGCACTCAAAAGCAACAGCAATTAAGCAGTTGAAAGTGGGTTGGATTGTCGGTTTATTTTTGTTCCATTTGAACGAATCAAGTGAGAAACATAGCCTCTTGCAAGGAGGAAATCAAGTCAAACTTGACGCTTCCTCTCCCTGACAGCCCAAGCTGGATGGCTCGTCTACACCCCTTATTCAGTTTAATTGCTTTCTGTGCTCTGATTTTCGCAGAGGTTGTATTCTACTTTGTTGAGGCTCCCTGTCCCTCTCCCCAACAGAAAGAAATCTTTCTCTTTTCTTCACTCCCCTCTTTCCTGTAAGAAAGACAATCCTCTCCAGGAGGAGAAAGAAACCCTGTGCCTGCTTAGGGTGGGAGGTGGGCGAGGGGGGAGGTAGGGGAAAGAAAGAGAGAAGATTGAGATTGGGGGTGGGGGACGGAGGAGAGAGAACAAGAGAAGGAAAGAGGAAGCAAGAAGATGGGGGATGCCCAACATCAACTCCAGGCTCTAAATCACGGGCGCTGTGCAAAGTGCTTTTCCAGGAGATGCACATGTAGTCTCATATTTCTCACAAAAGGCCACCCGGGGATCCCTCCCTAGGTCTCAGACTCCCACCACTAAAACCCAAGTGTATCGAAAGGAAAATCTTTGGGATGGATTCGAGCAGATAGGCACCGCCGAGGTGGCCGCGCCGCTAGTCCCGCTTCCTTACCTGGAGGGCGGACCGGGAGGTGGTGCCGGGTCTCGGTCCGCAGTGCTCTCCCCGCGTGGACCGGCGCGAGGCACACGCGTACTCTCGCTGCCTCCGCTCTTGGAGGGGCAGCCTGCAACACAAAAGGGGTGTGTGGGTGTGGGTGTGTGGGAGGTTTTCCAGGGCCACCAGCTGGTCCCAGCTGGCCGCCCCCACCCTTCACACACCCCTTCGGGGCGCCGAGCCCCTTCTCGGCTGAGCACCACCCTGGGGTCTTGCCCGGGGTGCAGCCTCAAGTTGCCGCTGCTAACTGCTGCTGCCGCTGCCGCTGCTGCAGGAGGAGGTGGAAAGACACTGGGGGCAGTACTCGGTCTAGAGCATCCCCACACTGCAGCTTCTCCAGGAATCCCTCCAGTGAGGAGGCGGCCGCCCATCACCTCCCAGCCCCAGCATCCTGATTGGCTCCACCTCGGGTACGCTGCGCCAAGGAGCCAATCCCAGCGCACTAATAATAGGTGGATCCGCTCAGCCAGCGTCGCCCATCTCAGTTCTGTTAGTGTCTCTCCATCCCCACAGCGGACAGGGACTTAGGAAAGCGGGTGGAGGCGGGTTGAGGGAGGGGGCGAAGTAAGAGGGGAACCGATCCCAAGGAGACACAATCAAGGGCATCTGGTAAAACGTCTGGGTAGACTCAGGAATGCCCCACAACCTGCTCAGCAAGCCATATGCACAGGAGAAAGAGAGCATAATACAAAGCTTTTTTTTTTTTTTTTTTTTTTTGTACTTTCAATCAAAACCTGCCCTGATACTGAGCATGCCCAGACTGCAACAGCGACCTAGGAGTTTCGACGTGTGTGGGTTCGCCAGCTGTGGGTTTTTGAAAAGCTGGGACCGGGGACGGGAGAGGCAGAAGTTTGACTTTGGCCATTTAACCGGGCGGAGTTGTGAAAGCTGGGCAGGGTGGGGACCTGAAAGGGTTCCGCACAAGTGTCCTCAAACTGAGCCGCGGGGAGGTGGCCCGCCAGCCTATCGGAGGCTCATCCTGCTATTCTTCTAGGGTTCGGGGTTAGAAGCGAGGGTGGCTTAAGCTGAGCTCTGCTGGAAGCCTGGAGACTTCCCGAGGAGGGTGCGGTGGAGCCGAGATGCAGAAGCAGCTCCGTCCCATAGGTGGGGCCGGGAGCGCGACTCCGCCCAGCAGCGGCGGCTGCCAGGCCGTGGAGTCACTGGGAGTTTCCGTCGCGGCGACCGATAAGTTTGTAGACTTGGGTCAAGTGCGGACATTGTTAGGAATGCTTTTTTTATTTTTTATTTTTTGCCACCTCCCTCCCCCATCTCTCTCGACCCCTTGCCAGAGCAGTGACGGCTAAAGCATAGATTCTCTCCCTGCTTCCTCCCTTCCCAGCTGAACCGTTCTGCTCGGAAGTAAGAAGCTTTTCCCTTGTGAGAGCGGTGGTGACCTGATTGTCTCTAAGCTCTCAGGCAATTTATAGCTCGGTAATACCGAGATACCCAACGGGAAGGCTCAGCGGGGTGGGGGAAGGGACCGCGCCAGGCTAGGGGCTGGAGCGGAGCCCAGCTCTGAGGGGTCCGTCCATTATCTGCTCCGCAGGTGAAAGGCTTTCAAAACGCAGGGAACTATTTTCCTTTCTCACTCCCTCAACCTCGTTTAAAGGCCTTTGAACCTCTTACTTTTTTACTTAGAAATTCTAGCATTTTGTGTAAACTTGATCAATAGCTACAAATGAGAGCTCTCCTAGTGAGTTCTTTATTTTACTGAGAAGATTATCTTGGCATCTCAGGTAGGGAAATAAATAGCTATCTCAATTCCCCAAACCCATCCACTTTGAACTGGAGTTTTATTAACATTGGTGTGCAAAGGTAAATGTAGCAAGAATTCAATTAACAGTAACACATTTCTTCAAGTTTTTAATTAAATCTCTTCTACTTATGTAATGTTTAAGATCCTTATTCTAAGTATATGAGAAAAGAAGACAACATGATATAAATGTATCCTTCTAAGTGACAAATACTTGAACTTGGGTTATGTTTGAAAAATAGGAAGTTTAACACTAGAGGTACAAGTGTAAAAATAATGCACCCCAGACTTGTAACTTTATGTGAATATTCACTTTCCATTTTCCAAAACAGTCGCCAAATCTTATTTTAAAATAATTTCATAGTTGGAGAAAAGAAGATAATAGAAGTTGGTCTAAATTTTGTTTCAATTATTTAGTGAAGAAGAGGAGGAGAAGAAGGTGAGAAGGAGGAAAAATGACAGGAGAAAAAGGAGATGAAGCAGTTGGAGGAGGAGGAATGGGACGAGAAGGATTATCCTATTTACCAGTAGCTGCATGTAGAAAAAATGCATGCTTATTTTAGAAAAAATTAGTCATCAGAATACAAATACAGATTTTAAAATTTCTGCTCCAGACCCTGGTTCTATCATCAATATTTTAATCAATTTCTTTTCCTGTTTACTTCACATCTTACCTAGCAATCATTCTCTTTCAGTGGCCAGAATCCTTGACAACATGAATGGTATCAGAGGTTTGTGTCCCAATATTACTTGAGGGAGACTGCAGGCTAAATTAAGAAATGGGTTTTACATGTATATTGTGCTTAACTTTAGAATTAATAGCATTCTCTGTACATAAATATTTTGAAGACTCTATTAAAGAGTAGCTGTAGATATACTAAGATTTTTAACTCTCCCTCCCATTCTTAAGTTCTCCGCAAGCTCTTGGGAATGGGTTGAAGACGTCCTCCTGGTTCTACTGGGCTGACACAACATCATACTTTGCAGAGAGTATGTACCGTCTCTTTGCCTATTGTAGCTGACTCATTTTTATTAAACAGAAAATCGGATCAATTGTTCTGTCTTTCCCTTTGTCACTCTTATTATCCCATTTCTTAAGTACTTTTATATCTAGAATTCCTATGTCTTTTGCTATTGAGAAATAACTTATCCCCTGATTGTATGGTATGTAAAAGATGTAACTTTCAGAACTTTAAAAAAATCGATTTTAATGGTTTGTTTCCTCTTTCTTTGTTAAAAAAAAGTGTTATTAATTTTGTCTTTACATTTTGCTCTGATCAAGATCTTATTTTCAATATTTTCTTTATTCCTTTTTTATTGGATTCATCTATTCACTCCTTTCATGCTTCCTTTGCCATCGATTTTAGGCTACAGGATCAGAATAGAAACTAAATTGGATTGGGGCACTGAGGAGAAAAATGTGTCTTATGGCAAGAGTGGGAATTAGGGACTTTAGAACTAGAAATTCATGAAGTAGAAACTTAGCCAAGGTTTCTGTAAACCACAGAAAGAATACTTAACATGAGAGAGGTATCAAGAAAATTCCGCATGTTGGTGGGAAGGCCAGAATTTCCTGGTTGATCAATGATACTACAGAGTTACATTTAACCAAGGCTCATACATCATTAAACTTTATATCTTTAGTAGCCATACTAGTTGTCTGGTAAAATCTATTTATAAATATCATTACTCAGAATTGTTTTTTAAATAAAAATAATTAATTTCTCTAAATTTTTCTTTTTTTAAAAAATAGCTGCGTATCTTATTATTCTTTTCACTTCATATCTGTGTTTCTGAAGATACTTTTTGCTCTCTCTACAGGATAGAAAATTTATTAAATATTTTCTGGTGTCAGAATTTGGGTGGAATTTCACTTCACCACTAATTGGCTGTCACCTTGAAAAATGTGCAAAACCCCTCCAAGCCTCAGTTTTCTCATCTAAAATATGTACATAAGAACATAAAATTTATCATTTTTTGTATGAAAAAAGCAATGCACATAAAGTGCTAGTTCCAAGCACAAAGCAAGAACTTAATGACTGTTATTATCATTTTATCATTATCATTGCTGCTACTTCTGCCACTATTTCTTTTTTCAGATTTCTGGGTTATGGGATTTCCTCCCATCATCTCATCCATTTAAGCCAATAGTGAGCCATAGATTCTTCACTTGTAAGCGTTAAAGGTAGAAGGGTGTTAATTCATGTTATAAGAACTTTTATTTATTTTTTGGTAGGAGAAGACAAGGTCTCACTCTGCAGCCCACGCTAGAGTGCAGCGCATCTTCTTACCCATTTCTTCAAGAACTCTTCTTTCTCCCTCAGTACCTGCTTAAGTCTTCTTACTTTTTCACCTGGAATGGTTTCTTCTAACTCTAGTGGTGTCACTGGGAAAACATCTTCAGTATAGTTTTTATGGAAGGAATGTCTTTGTTCGTAAGCTGCATTTGAATTCAACGTGCCTTTCTCTTGCCTCTCATGGGTATAGTGTTCTATCTCAAACCTCTTTTCTTGTCTGATTGTTCTGCGACTGGTGAGTATTACGTTGTGACACACCTGAAGTTGGTAAAATACTGCTTAGGGGTTGAGAACTGGTGACACGAACTCCTCCATTTGTGTTTGTGTGAGAAGCATTCTCTGTTTTTCTCTTCCTTTTGTGATCCAGCTTCTTTTTTTATTTTTATTTATTTTAATATATATTTTATTGCGTTTTAGGTTTTGGGGTACATGCGAAGAACAGGCAAGATTGTTGTATATGGTTTTTGCTTTTCTTTTCTTATGAAAATTCTGCTGTTTTCTCTCCTTCCTTCACCATAAACTCTGTCTCTTTGTAAGTACCACTCTTTACCAAACTGCTAAAGGAATCAAAACTTTCTCCAGAGGTCAAATGGTCAGGAATTCAAGTAAGGCACACTCTCAAATGTTTAGTAAGGCCAAATGTCTTTTTAAATTTGGCATCACTCTTCAGATGTGATGCCTTATTACTTCTTCCTTGAGAATCTTTCTTGTCATTTCTTCCTTGGGTACCCTTTACTGATGTTGATGCCATCTCATTATGGATCAATGTGAGGCATTGCCTGAATTTTCCTCTGCAGGTCTCAGGAAGACCCTCCATAGGTTCTTTGACATTTTAGTGGGGAGGAAGGAGACACCTCTTCCAGGAAATTGGCTCACTGCAGCCTCGACTTCCCAGGCTCAGGTGATTCTCCCAGCTTAGCCTCTTTAGTAGCTGGGACTACAGGTGTGTGCCTCCATGCTAGGCCAATTTTTTGCATTTTTAAAAAATAGAAACAGGATTTTCCCATGCTGCCCAGGCTGGCCTTGAACTCCTGGACTCAAGTGATCCTCCCACCTTGGCCTCCCAAAGTGCTGATGTTTATAGGTATGAGCCACCGTATGTGGATGCAGAAGTTTTTTAATATGTAAAATGACAACAGTCATCTGTCTTGCATGTAATATTCTTATACTGTAATCTTCTAGGAGATGAATCATTTAGTTTTTAGGGACTGTGTACTTAAGCTTTTTTTCATAAAAAAGTTTGTCGTTTATATTATTCTTTAAAATTAAGAAATATCCAATTCTGGTGGTGAAAAATTGATGAACACTATTTTTTTTTGTTTGTTTTCTAGAAAATGTCATTG